CTTGATATGTAGGGGTGCCCAGGGAAGCGACCCAATTTCGCCTTCCTCCCAGCCCCCCCATTTTCATGGCCACGCGTTCGTACGCTGTTGTGTCACCAGCGACCCCAATATTGTTAGTTGTCGGACGAGTAGTGCTTACAGCATGGACCGCCCCAGCCGACAGTTGGAGAAGGCGTGTCAAAGCGATGTTGCATCTTTAGCCTCGCGGTGTCGCCCCGGCCGAATGCTCCGAGGCCTTCACCCACAGTCGAATCGCGCCACATCGTAACCGAGGCGGAGCGCGACAGGTTGCGACAGATTCAGCAATCTGCCCAGCGTACGGTTTTCCTCCAGCATCGTGAGCAAGCAGTGATTTACTCCCAGGCTCGAAGCCCTCAGGCAGGGGATTTCGGCCCGTGAGGCTGCATAAGGTTTTGTTAGATGCTTTCTCTTCCAAGGACATCATGATAAAACTGCTCCTCCTGCCTTGCTCGTCCCGCTGCTCTTTGCCCGCCATTGCGCATTGTGCGGCGGAAGCCAGCTATATTTCTCGTATTCCTTGGCGCCCTTCTCCTGCTCTTTCTCGTCGTCGGGTCCTCCTCCTCGTCCTGCTTCTGCAACTTTTCCCTAAGTCGCCGGACGGACTCTGCTGGAGCGGCGCGTCCCGTTCGGGCCCGCGCTCGGTCGGTGCTTGCCGCCCCAGTCGACCCCCGTCGCTCGTGTCAGGGTGAATGGATACGGTCGGACAGACATCTGCCCTGCGCTCCTCTTGCTTGTGTAGGTTGTTGTTTGCGATAGCTGTGGCTTCTCCCTTCGTCTCCCCTCGCTTGTCCTCGCCCCATCAATCTCACCTTTCTCCCGCCTCCATCCCTTACTCCCCCGTCCCTCCCGCTCTCCCTCCTCCTCATTTGCCTCCTTAAGAGGATGGGCAAAGATCCGATTCCAGGGGAGGCCTACTTCTCGAGGCCCTCGTGAGCGGGGATCAGCGACACTCGGGGGAAGCAGAGGCGGAGGGGGAGTCGGAGTAAGAGGAGGAACAGGATGATGATGATGATGATGATGATGATGATGATAATGATGATGATGTTGATGATGATGGTGATGGTGATGGTGATGGTGATGGTGTGGTTGATAATAATGCGGATGATGATGCTGATGGTGATGATGATGATTATGATGCTGAGGATGATGATGATGGTCATCATGATGGTGATCATGATGATGGTGGTGGTGCTGGTGAAAGTAACGATGACGTTGATGATGGCGATGATGACAATTACGATGACGATGACGATGATGGTGATGGTGATGATGATGATGATGATGAGTGTAAGTTTGATGATTGCAATGGCGATGGTGATTGGTAAGGATGATGATGTTGATGATGATGATATTGATGGTGCTGATGATGATGATGATGATGATGATGATGATGATGTTGGTGATTATCGTGATGATGTTTGGAGGTGATTGTGATGATGATCATGATGCTGGTGATTATGCTGGTGGCAATGGTGATTAGTATGATGATGCTGCTGATGATGAGGATGCTGCTGCTGATGATGTTGGTTATGATGATGCTGCTGTTGCTGATGCATGATGTTGGTGAGTGTTATGATATGATGCTGATGAGGACGGCGATGATGGTGATGAGGATGAGACTGGTATGCTGATGATGCTATTGGTAATGCTGGACATGTTGATGGTGATTGTGCTTTGAACGGAACTGATGATTATGATGTTGCTGCTGATGCTGATGCTGATGCTGATGATACTGATGCTGATGATGATGATGGTTGGTGATTGATGGTTGATCATTCGTGATGATGATGCTGATGATGTTGGCGGTCATACTGATGATGATTATAATGATGCTGACGATGGTGATGTTGCTGATGATGATGATGCTGATGATGATGCTGATGATGGTGATGGTAATTGTGATGGTGATGGTGATGCTGATGATACTGGTGGTGGTGATGATGCTGATTCTGATGATGTTGGTGGTGGTGGTTGTGGTGGTGATGGTGGTTATGATGAAAATGATGGTGTCGATGACGATGCTGATAGTGGTGGTGATGATTATGCTGATAATGACGCTGATGATGCTGCTGCTGATGATGTTGATGATGGAGATGATTATGAGGAGGATGAGGAAGAGGAGGACAAGGAGCAGGAGGCATAGGCTAACGGTAATTCCATATGGTCATGTTTGTGATTAGTATGAGGAGTAACATGATACCCATGATTACGGTGATGTTTTCGGTGGACATGATGGTGGTGATGGTTGTGCTTGTGGTGTTGATGGTGTTGGTGATGATCCGGTGGTGATCGATGATGGTGGTGATGATGATGGCGATGATGATGAGGATTGCGATGAGGATGATGATGATGGTGATGATGATGATGATGATGATGATGATGAGGTGGAGGATGCTGTCGTTGATGATGGGGAGGAGGACGATGGGGATGATGCTGATGCTGCTGCTTATGATGCTGCTGATGATGATGATGCTGCTGCTGATGATGATGATGATGATGATGATGGTGATGCTAACAAAGCCGACGACGACGATATTATGAATACGATGATGAAGCCGAGGAGGAGGAGGACGAGGAGGAGGAGGAGAACGAAGAGTAGGAGGAGAAGGTTGAAACGACGCATTCGTTTCCCATTCTGGTCTCCTGCTCATCCTTCCCCCTCCTTCGTCTCAGCGGCTACGCGCTGCGCTGGGATCAGACAGGGGCATACACAGGCCTTCTCGCCCAGACCCAGGCATACGGCGTCTCCGATAGATCGAGACGTTTCGTGTTTCATTGTTTGGGGCTTTTGGGGGACCATCAAACAGCCACTCGGGCCCAAGAGCCGGCCCTGGAGGAAGGGATCGGGAGGTTCGGCGGCCCATGTCTCCCAAAATTGGTCCGCTGGATGTCTGCGGATGGCCGCCCAAGGCGGCTGTCTCCGCAGTTCGTTGCCGTCGCCGATGAGGAGGTTATTTCTGCCCCCCTCCCCCTCCCTCGTGCTGCGTGCTCTGCCTTCAGGCGTCACGTTGAGAGTCTCTCCGACCTCGTCGACATCGTCTCTCCCTTCAGTGTCTTCGACCTCGTCTTTCACTCCAAGACGGAGAAGAGTAGCAGGAGCCAAAGTCGGAGGCAGATGAGGAGGAGGAAGAGGAGGAGGACGAGGAGGAGGAGGAGGAGGAGGAGCATTGGAAGGAGGAGAAGGAGAGATTGAGGACGAGTAAGGAGAGAAATGATTGGGATGAAGAGGAATATGCGGAGGAAGAGAAAGAGGGGTTTGATGCTGATGGTGATGATGCTGATTATGATGATGCTGATGATGATTATGACGAAGATGCTGATGCTGCTGATGATGATGGTATTTGTGATGCTGCTGCTGATGCTGATGCTGATGATGCTGATGATGATGATGATGGTGATGATGGTTATGATGCTGGTGATGATGATAATGATGATAATGCTGACGACGATGATGATAGTGATGATGTTGATAATGATAATGATAATGATAATGATAATGATGTTGCTGGTGATGATGTTGGTGGTGATGATGATGCTGATGATGATGATGATGATGATGATGATGTTGATGGTGCTGATGATGATGATGTTGATGATTATGATGATGATGATGATGATGTCGATGATGACGATGATGGTGGTGCTGGTGGTGGTGATGATTATGAGGATGATGATGATGACGATGATGATGATCATGCTGATGATGATGCTGATGATGATGCTGATGATGATACTGATGATGATGATGCTGGTGATGCTGATGACGACGATGATGGTGGTGGTGCTGGTGATGATGATGATGATGATGATGATGATGATGATGATGATGATGATGATGATGATGATGATGACGGTGATGATGCTGATGCCAGTGTTGCTGATGATATTGTTGAGGATGGTGCTGGTGATGATGATGATGATGATGATTATGATGATGATGATGATGATGCTGATGATGATGATGATGATGATGACGGTGATGATGCGGATGCCAGTGTTGCCGATGATCTTGTTGATGATGATGATGATGAGGATGATGATGATGGTGGTGATGATGATGATGCTCATGCTGATGGTGTTGCTGATACTGATGCTGATGCTGATGCTGCTGATGATGATGATAATGATGATGATGATAATGATGATCATGATGATCATGATGATGATGATGATGATGATGATGATGACGATGACGATGATGATGATGATGATGATGATGATGCTGATGATGATGCTGGTGCTGATGCTGATGCTGATTGTGATGATGATGATGATGCTGATGATGATGATGATGATGATGATGATGATGATGATGATGATGATGATGATGATGATGATGATGATGATGATGAGGAGGAGAGGAGGAGAGGTGGAGGTAGGAGGAGGAAAGGAGGGAGGAGGAGGAGGAGGAGGAGGGAGGAGGAGGGAGAGGAGGAGGGAGGAGGAGGAGGAGGAGGAGGAGGAGGAGGAGGAGGAGGAGCGGCAGAAGGGAGAGTGGAAGCAGTAGCAGCAGCAGAACCAGGACGAGGAAGAAGAGAGGGAGGACGAGGACTCCCAGATTCCCTCCCGGGACCTTCTGAAACCATCGAGTGCCCTCATCTCCCTTCCCGCTCGCCCGCACTCCTCCCTCTCGCTCCTCCACATTTTCCCCTTCCCCCTCTCCCCTCGCTCCCCCCTCCACCCTCCCCTTGCTCGGACAGAGCCAGTAGAGTTTATGGGGAACTCTCCTGCAATCCAGTCGTTCTGCTCCATAGTTGCCCTCTCCTCGGTGCACCACTGTGGCACATCAGATGCCTGGCCCCACGAATGGGGTTCGGGTGCCCCGCTCCCCGCTGCTCCCCTCCTCCGCTCCTCCCCTCCTGGCCCTGACCCAGGAGCTCCTCCCTTCCTCCCCCCCGCCCCTCGGAGGCCGACGGGGGCGAGCGGACGGGGGGGGGGCGGAGGCGGCGGAGCCCGCGGCCTCCTGCCCCGCTGGGCAGGCGGGCCCGCGGGTCGCGCCCGACGGCCTCGCGGAATTCTCGCCGCTGCGCGGCCAGTCGGAGTTCGTGCCCATACAGGACGGTCGCGGCCCGGCGCGGAGCGGCTCCGGGCTCGATGGAGGAGCAAAGATACCGATGCTGCTGCTGGTCCTGCAGTTCCAGGCCTCCCAGAATGGGGCTGGAGTGGGTGGGCTCGGAGGATCGCGCCGCATCGGCGATGCGGGTCGATGTGGAGCCCGATTTTCTACACGCCGACGACGTCGCCGATGCATCGTTGGTGCGGCGCGATCATCCGACCCCATTTACTCAGACCCTATTTTTGGAGGGCTCAGGGGGATGCATCGGCCTGATAGCCCAGCCCGCCCAGGAACGCTCGGATTCGCCATCGGGGGCCTATCGCCGATCTATTGGCGATGTGTCGCCGATTCAGACTTTTTCCCCCCCCTGTCAACGCGCCTACGCGCTTACGCGCTCCTTCATCTAGGGTACCCTTGTGTCTTGCCTCTGCGGCCCGTCCTGTTTTGACTGTATCCCTTTATCGCTCCCCCTCAGCGCAGAGTGGGCCCGGTCAGCATCGGTGCAGATGCGCTCCTTCTCTCCGTGCTGCGGGGTGCTGCTCGGCCGGAGAGCCCTCGCGCGTGTGCGGAAGTGCGCGTCGCCTTCGGAGCGCCGCGGCATAAACCAGCGGAGCATTGAGATGCATTGAGATGCCGGCGTGGGGGGGGGGGCAGCGAACCAGTCGGGTCTGAAGAGACGGGGGTCAATGCAAACGTGGGTCAGTCAGAGCGCTGGATCTTGCAGGATCTTGCAGAGCCAGGGTCGCATCGACCCGGCTTTGGGTGCAGGATCTTGCTGGATCCTGCAGGATTTTGCAGGATTCTGCAACGCCCGGCTGACCCTGGTGTAGATTGACCCAGGTCAGTATATCTCCGAACCAGCGCGGGCAGATCGGGATAATCGGAATGTTTATGGATAGAACGGGTACGAAGATTGGCAGCATGTCCGATGATTTTGACCAAGATTCGTTGTCGGTGCCGTCGCGGACGGTGTCCATTTGAGGCAGCGGGCCGCCTGGCCAGCAGCGGCCGCTGCCCGTTTTGGACATCATGTGTTGTGGGGCATCGTGCCCATGTTTGCCGTACCCATTTCGGGCGTCCAGAGCAGAGGTGGTCGGGAACAGAAGGACAGTTGGGGCAAACATGTCATTAGAAAATACCGCTCGGCTCCGCTGCTAGCTGGGAAGATGATGCCCATTTAGGCCGTCATGGGTGTTCCACTTTCAGGTGGCTCTGCTTTGGGCCAGAGTCTCCCTGCAGAGGAGTCGCGTGTGATTGCCGTTGGCGGCATTGCGAAGATCCTTTCATGTCTTTGTCGGCAGGTAGCTCGGCGCTGCTATTCAGGAACCAATGTGTAGGATGCAATTCTAGACGCTTCGCGTATCCCCACCAGCCCATCCAGAAACGACGCCCAGGCGAGTAGAGGGTCGTCCTGAGGGGCTTTTCGGCGTCTTGGGTGCCTCGGGGGGGCCTCTTTGGGCCGTTTGGGATCCTCTTGGGGGCCTTCTGGGGGCCTCTTGGGGCCATCTTGGGGCCATCTTGGGGCCTCTTGGTGCCTCCTGGGCGCTTCTTGGGGCCATCTTGGAGGAAATCGATCAAAGAAGAGGGGAGCTTCAATTAGCGCTGCCCCCTCAGAAGGCCAAAATGGGGCCAAAACCTTAGTAAAATCTATGATTGTGGCTTCAAAGAAGAGGGGAGCTTTAATTAGCGCTGCCAAATCAATGATTTTGGCTTCAAAGAAGAGGGGAGCTTTAATTAGCCCTGCCCCCTCAGAAGGCCAAAATGGGGCCAAAACCATAGTAAAATCACAGGTAGCTCGGCGCTGCTATTCAGGAGCCAATGTGCAGGATGCAACTTCTGGGAGCTGATATTTAGCATCGAAGCTGGTCTATCCGTTGTCGAAAACCAGCCCAGTCCGGCATATTTCCGCTGACTCTTGTTCATTCAAGCTTAATCCCAGGCTGAATCCAGCCTTATTCGTCTGTGTGACTTCTAATCGGGCCTAACAGCCCTGAATCGTTCTTGCGAAGACCTCTCAGGAGTCGTCCCCTAGCAAGTTTTTGGACCACAATCACCCCGTGCCATCTCCGATGCATCTCCGACGAATCGACGATGTGGCGCGATCCTCCGACCCCATCTACTTCGACCCCATCTGGTAGGCCTCTAGTTCCTCTTTCCATAAGACAAGTCACCCGGTCGGTCGGTCGGTCGGTCGGTCGTCGCCGTCGTCCGTCGTCGTCGTCGTTCGTCGGTCGGTCGGTCGGTCGTCGCCGTCGTCCGTCGTCGTCGTCGTCGTCGAGCGTCGTCGTCGGTCGTCGGTCGTCGGTCGTCGGTCGGTCGGTCGGTCGGTGGTCGCCGTCGTCCGTCGTCGTCGTCGTTCGTCGGTCGTCGGTCGTCGGTCGGTCGGTTGGTCGCTCGGTCGGTCGGTCGGTCGGTCGGTCGTCGGTCGGTCGGTCCGTTGGTCGGTCCGTCGTCGTCGACGTCGTCGTCGTCCTCGTCGTCGTCGTCGTCCTCGTCGTCGTCATAGTCGTCGCCGCCAGCGGTCTCCCGCTTGCTCCTTCGCCGCCCGCGAGGAGCCCGGCGCCTCGAGGAGGCAGGCCGACGAGCGCCCCGCCGACGCCCCGCAGGCCGCCCTGGCGCTGGCGCGGGGGGGCGTGTTGGAGGCGTCGGTCGCGGGGGCAATGCGTCGGACGCGGGGGCATCGCCGGGCGGGGGGGATATCGTCGGTGCGCCCCCGGGGGGGGGGAAGAGGCGGCAGGCCTTCTAAGGCGGCGGCGGCGGGACTTCTCAGAAGCCTTGACCTGTCTTCGGAGAAGTTTTCTGAGCCTTCTCCAGAGACAGGGACGGCGCTTCGGAAGGACGGAGGGCTTCTGAGAAGTCTCGCCGCCTTTGGGAAGGCCTGCCCCCTCTCACTTCCCGCTGGGCTCGCCGCCGACAAGCGGGGGATAGGACACGGGGGGGATGCGGTGTTCGGAGGGGCAACGTTCGAGCAGGATGCTGTTTTCGAGAGGCTCGGAGGTTGTGGGGCCCCGGTTGGTTTCCATCAGCTGCGCCTCGTCAAGAGCGTTCAGGGGTCGCCAGGATCGTCCCGAACGGCCGCCTGATGCTCGAGTTCTGGCCCGTCAACAACCGAGCCTGGAGCAACGCTGGGGGGGGGATAGGCTGAGGGGAGGGATGCATCGACCCCCGATCGCCCATGCCCATTCATTGCCGATAGGGGACCGATAGCCCAACCCGCAGCCATCGAGAGCTCCACGAGAGGCACAATCCTCCGTCCCTCACTCGTCCCTCCCTCTGTGCTTCCTCCTCGCTCCTACCCGTTCTGGCTCTGGCCTGTTTGAGCACAACTGTCCAGAGGTTGTTGGCGTCTTCTTCAGAATGGCGCGAGGTGCCAACGGGCCAAAGGCTTTCGGCAACATGTTTCCTACACGGTCATGTCCAAGCACACGCTCTGGGGGGGCGGCCCTGACATGGGCACATCAAACGTATGCGCAGTGGCCAGCTTGGCATGTGAGTCTGGCTCTCCTGGTCGCGACATGGGCATCTCAGGTAGCGAGGGTCGCTGGGCATGCCACTTTCCGGGTTGGCGGCTGCAAGCAGAAAGGTTCGCACTTTTGCGGCTGCAGAAATTGTAAGCGACCGCGGGGCGCAGGGCCAGGATTACCAGCTCGGCCGTTCGGACTGGGGGGACCCTCCTCGCAGGTGTCAGGTCAAGCAGGGGGCGGCCCAGCGCCCCCGAAGCTTGACGAGTACGGCGAAGCAGAGTTGGAGCAGCTACTTTCGATCAGTACCAAATATAACGACGCAGGCGTTTGAACGAGTTCGTGCTCGTAACCGTCTTTCCCCTGCCCGCTCCATGCAGCTGCGAGCCAACGACGCCCACCAAAAGCTCAAGACCATTGAGCGTCGGTTGGAGAAGGCACTTGCAGATCTCAAGCGTGCTCGTGGATGGACTTCTACCAAGGAGCAGCATGTGCTGTCACTTCGGAAGGATCCGGAGGACCAGGACGCGCTCCACACCGATTTCATTGTCCAGTTTCACTCCACCGTCTGCAAGCCTCCGCCTCAGGATGCAGCAAATACCAGCACGTAGATCAACGTTCGCGACCTCTTGGACGGCAAACTCTCAGATATAACCATCGTCATCGGAGATTATTTGTTGGGGGTACACTCGGAGGGATACGACCTGTCAACGGAAAACCTACATATTCTTCAAGAGAGGGGCAGCAGACATTGCCTGCGGGAGTCATGACGTTGGCCAGCTCCTCTCAAGATCTGGTTAAATGCTTGGGCTCCGCCAAGAAGGACCACCACGACGCCTTGGCACGTCTTGCGCACAGAAGCGTAAGGTTAAGCATGATGGAGCAGCAACCGCAGCCCTTGGAGGCGGTGATGAAGGACGTTTCCCTGGTTCTGCCAGTTCTGGGGGTCCACCAGCCGCCGATCAGGAACCGCCAGACGCTCCAGGCAATGCTGTTGACGCTGAGGACGTGCGCAAGCGTGCCAGGCGTGCAGTTGCAGCCAAAGTCGGCGGAGCCGCACCATAGCCTGCCTTGCAAGCAGCCCCTCCTGGGCAGCAAGTCGCTGCCCATGGGGTAATATCCTGACACGCGTAAGTTGTTCAAGAGGTCTGCCACGGATAAGCGTAACTTTCTCCGTCCAAGCCAATTGCAGGCACTCCTTAAGTTTAGACGGTGTCCTCAGAGCCCCAGCCCACCTGGGCCCTGGGCCCCGAAACCCTCGAGCTAATGTTGGGAACCGTCAACTCTACCGCTTGGACCTCGGAGAGACCCTTGCTGTTAAAGACCCGTGCACATGCTACCCTGTTCCAGGAGCATTGTCTAGGAATGACGGGAAGCGGTCGCTGAAGCTTCGGCAGGGGCTCGTCGCCACGGCTGGCTAGCTCGCATTGATCCTGCCCTGGTCACGCCCGAGGGGGCGCGTCTGGGGGCGCGGCGGCTTTGGTTCGAGATTGGCTGGGCTGCTACGACGTGCCTAAGGCCCCGCCGTTCATCCAGGTCAGGCCACTGCCCGTTGGAGTCAGGTGCCTGGCTGGCGGCGAAACCATCCTCTGCCTCTCCCTCTACCTCAAAGACGTCGAAGGACTTTCGACGTTCGATTTCGGCATCCTTGCCAAGGTCGGATCCCTTCTTAACTCCTGCTCCTCCCCCGGTCTTATGGGTGTGGGGGGACTTTAACGTGGCCCCAGAAGCTCTCTCGGAATGTGACTCCGCTGCCCGTTTGGGCATTTCCATCGTCTCTCCTCAGGATTCGATTATTTGCGCCAGCGCCGCCGAGGGAGGTGGTTCTCTGCTTCATTTGCTGTGTGCAGCCCAGGACTCAGCAAAGGCATTGCTGGCATCTCGGTCGTTTTTAAGGCTGATGCCTGGCCCGTCCGTGTTACGTTCCATCCAGGCCTCGCTGACCTCCAATGCCTCTATTTCGTTCGCCCCCGTCACTTTGGCAAACCGTCAGTGCTGACGTGTTGCTTCGGCGGGCGGCCCCCTTCCCTTCTATAACCTTCTTCATTGCACCTTTTTCAGCATGGCTTAAATCCTTGGGATGTCGGTCAAGATAATTTTCGGCGGGTTGAGACAACGATGAGCGCATTCAGATGTGAGGTTGCTGGTTTTTGTTGTTATCAAAAGTATCCGCAACTCACGCATAACCATACACGTACATATATATGTGTATGCACATGTATTTACACATATGCATATTTGTATACCTACATACATACGCATACATGTATATACATCACACATGCATACATAGAGTAAAAACGATTCAGCGGATCGTGGCATTGCATATAATGACTGTTGTGCCACCAACACCCAAGCTGCGTGTAGACGAGTTACCTCTGGGGAAAAGGAAGGACCGTTTTCTCTAGCGGTTCTAAGATAAAGCATGCATTGTACCTCCATTCGGCATCACTGGCGGCACTCGCCGACCCCTTACAGATTGTGCGACCTCGGTTACTGTCGGCGAGGCTGTGGGCGGTGGCGAACACAGAACACTGTTGGGGGCCAGGATGTCTAGGGGCAGCTTGCTCAAATTTGTGACCCAAGAGGCCCAGCTCACGTTCATTCTCAATCGCATCTAGGCTGGCTTGGAGAAGCCTATGCCTAACAAGAGAACCTCGAAACTCGCGCCTGACTGTTACAAAACGCGTCTGATCATTCACTCGGGCTCGGTTGGCGGCCATTTCGGCAATTGCGGCAGCAGCATGACTTCTCAGGTGGAGCCTCGCTGGATATCTCTGCGCATGCACCTCCACCCTGTCCAGATGAGATTTTACAACAACATCAATATATGCGCTCGTTTTCTTTTGGCAACCACGTGGCCTATCTTGGCCCAGTTGTCTGCATCTGGTCCACTGGGCTGTAGGAGTTCGTCCGGGTACCAACCATCAAGAATTCCGATACTGTCCGACACGAACACGATTAATTTTGTGCTGACGTGGAGGGGAAGTCACAAAGCAGTGACTTCGCCTCTGCCCACCACTTGGCGGTATCCTGCAGGGCGGTGTAGTATCGGATTTGGAGGCTCAGCGACTCCAACTCTTTTCAGACGTGGGTGAGCAGACTCCTTTCCACCACTCGCATCGCAAAAGAAATGTAATGGATGTTTACGCGCGCTAGTACCCGCAACACCAGCAGCAAACTCATCAATTTTGCCTCCGCAACAGCCTCAAGGATCGGCGGCGGGACTTCCACCCACGCCTTTGGTAGAAGCCGTCGAAGCCAGAAGCACTCGGCTGACTCTCACTGTGCGTCTGGTTCGCCCTTGAGTTCTTCGGACCTCGACTGCGCGCTGGAGCCGCAACTGGCATCGCACGCCCAGGCTCGGTGGAAAAGGCGTCCCTGGTGCACGTCCGCAGCGTGAGCACAACAGCGGCGCGCACTCTGGCTTCCGAGCGTCGCGCCGGGTGCGCGGCCAGGCAGCACCCGTGGCCACTGCTGTCATCATGTTTGCCAGACGATGTCCATGAGGTGTGTCATGCAATTGGCGGAGCAGACGAACATGCAAATCCATATCCACGCCTGCTTCAGAGTTTAACCTACTAGACATGTTTGCTGGCAGCTGACCAACATTTCCGCTCACGATTCCCAACAAATTCACGCACCAAACCACACGACAGATCAACTCGTTTGTGCTCCGACTGAAAAATGATAGTGGGACATTCCATTCAATGACATTGCCATCTTCGGCTGGAGGGCGTGACCACAATTCCGCCGTGGTGGGGTCCCATCCAGGCTCCAACAAATGGCACATGGCGGCCCCCATAGGGCTCCGAATGTGTCTAGAGTGATCATGTGGCTCAGTACCGCGCAACTTCAGCACAGCCTTCGGCCAATCAAGCCGAATGGCGTTTCGATAATCTGACCCCTCGTGCGCCCGCATCCTGAACCACAGCAAGAGGCAGTCCGCCGCCATCGTCATATCTGGATCTCCCCTTTCGCCTTGCAGCGCCAGCAGGGTGGTCAAGCACCTGCCTGCAGACGGGGTTGCACAGGGATGCCCTTGGCGACGGCGAAAGGCTTGAACAGCATATCCAAAAGCTCCATGTCGGAAGCTGGAACATACACATTGCCAGTGGTGGGCTGTTTTTCAATCCCAGGACTTTTTGAGGGTCGGGGACGGCGTCGGGGTGGTGTGGTGTATACTTCTTTTATCCGTTTCCCGGGGGAACAACGAAAGATGTATACACCAGGGTCCCGTATACACCAGGCTCCGCTTCCTTGTGCAATGCCTATAAGTTCCAGCAGCAAAAGATCCAAGGCGTTCAATCCTGGAAGTCGCACGATGCTTCCTAGACGCCTTGGCATACTGGGGTATACTTGCGCTCATCTGGCCTGCTTTCTCGATTCGCCGGCCCCGAACTGCACGAGCCAAGCGACGTCCACCTCCAAGATCCGTCCTTAAGTACGATACCCGAGGTTGAGCGCGACCATGACGACGACGACGACGACGACGATGACGACGACGACGACGACGACGACGACGTATTGATTGTGCGCTGCACTGTACGCGTGCACCAGGCCGGGGTGCTCCCATTTCTCTGTTCATGGTCCTCTATGACCCTCAAACTCAGTCCGGCCTCCTCGTTTTTCTCTCGCTCTCGTCGCTGGCTGACTTCCTTCCTTCTCTCTCTCTTCTGACGTTGCGCTCTTCTCTGGCGCCCAGGGCCCGATGCACTGGGACCAGTTCCTCAGCCTCTGCGGCATAAGCTTCCCCACAGAGGAGGCCGCACTGATGCGTGTGTCGATCTGGAGACGCAGAATTGGTTGATGTCGGGAAGGATGCGGACTACGACGACGACCACCAGGACCACAAGCAGGAGAAGGAGGATGATGTTGATGCTGGTGATGATGATGATGAGGAGGAGGAGGAGGAGGAGCAGGAGGAGGAGGAGGAGGTGGAGGTGGATAAGGATGAGAGGAGCAGCTGCAGTTGCAGCAGAAGCAGGAGAAAGAGCAGACAAGGTGGCGAGGTACGACAACCAGGTCCCCACTGGTGGCGTTCGAGACGTATGGCCACCTTTTGGACTAAGATGCTCCGTGCTCTTGAACACCTGGCGGCGCCTGCCAGCGCCTGCCGGGGGCCAGGTAGTTGCGCCTCGCCTGGTGCCCAAATGGCGCGCGGCGTTAGCGAGAACCGTGCTCTTGTCGGCCGCCGACATCGACCTGATCCCGATAAGGGGCTGCGCCGACGGCCACGGCCACGTAGACTAGGGTCATGTACGGCCTTGGCTCGGTTGCGAGATAGTGCGCACGTTGCTCATAGGTTGGCTCATTGTGTGTTCAGCCGTGTCCTGGCATGACTAGGAAAAGATGGAGGAGCAGCATCCTCAGCAGGAGGTTCACCTGCATACGGATCACGGACGATGAAGAAGAGGCCAATGAACGCCCTAAGCGCCCGGAAGCGTTCCCTCAACACGCTGGCGGGTTCGGCTACGCATACGTAGCCTCGCGATACAACAATGCAGTGCTAGGGCGCTGCATGTTGCTGTTATTTCTCCGCGGCACCGCTGTGGGAAGGCGAGGCAAACGCCTTTCGATGGAACCCATCGAGGCCCGCCTCTTGGCTCCCATCTATGCGCATTCAGCGCCCTATCTTGGCTGATGCCGATGGTTTCGCAAATTTCGTACTTTATGGGCGTACAGTTCCCGCGTCGCGTCACTGGGCTATGCGTGTGCTTCTTGCGTTGTGCGCGCCTCTGGAATATTGTGACGGCCATACGATGTGGGGGTATCACACAAACTGTATGCGAAAATGGGCTGTATGCCTCTTTTAGTGGGGGCCCCTTTTTTCCGCCGGGCGGGGGAGTGGACGATGAGTTGTCTCCTCATCAGCATCCTCACACTCTCGATTTTTTTTAGAAGCGGACGTGATCAACTGGGTTCGTTTTGGGCTCCCGCTGAGAGGGGGAACAAGAAGAGGACGACGAAAAACGTGAAGCCGAACAGGACGACGAGCAAAGGGCGGAGGAGGGAAAGGATGACATGGGAGAAACAATGCAGGAGGGAGGCCACTGAGACGGATTATGATGATGATCTTGATGGTAATGATGAGGAGGATGACTTTGCGGGTGGTTGTTATGATGTGACGCTCGTGATGATGTTGATCGTGATGATGATGATGATGATGAAGATGCTGATGACGATGCTGACGATGATGATGACGACCATGACGATGCTGATGCCGATGCGACGATTACGATGTTGATGGTGATGATGATGATGACGATGCTGATCAAACATATGATGATGGTGATGGTGGTGAGGATGATGATGATGATGATGTTGATTAATGTGATGAGTCCGATGCTGATCATGTTGATGATGGTGTCGATTATGATGATGACGATGGTGCTGATCATGATGATGATACTGATGCTGGTGATGATGCGGATGACCAACGATATAATGATGGTGATGATAATGAGGATAATGAGGACGATGATGCTGATGAATGTGATGATGCCGATGCTGGTGCTAATGATCATGATGATGGTGACGACGATGATGATGATGATGATGCTGATGCTGATGATGATTATGGTGGCGGTGGTGGTGGTGAGTGTGATGATAATGATGGCGTCCATGATGATGCTGCTGACGATGATGATATTGCTCATGATGACGATGATGCTTACGATGCTGATGGTGAAGCGCTTGTTAATGAATACTATGAGGACTAGTATTTTGCTGCTGTTGATGATGCTGATGACGATGATGATGACGATGACGAACGATGACGATGATGATGATTAAGATGACGATGACGATGGTGAGGATGATGATGATGATGATGACGATGATGATGATGCTTGTGAGGACGATGCCGAAGCTGTTGATGATGCTGCTACTGTTGCTGCTGCTGATTATGATGATGATGATGATGACGACGACGATGATGATGATGATGATGATGATGATGATGGTGATGGTGATGGTGATGGTGATGGTGATGGTGATGATGATGATGATGATGATGATGATGATGAGCAAGAGGCTAGGTGATGCCAGTCATCACGGTGAACAGCGATTGTGATTCGGCTCCGTCGATTTCCAGCGCCATGGCACAAATTCGCACAGTCGATGGCTTTTCAGGCGAGAGAGAATCAAGCATAATATGTCAATCACCTCCTGCCTCAGTATGTTGGAACACGCTGGGTGCTTGCTTTGGGCACCAGCTTGAAGCTAGGTGTGTCATCAGCTCCCCGTCACCGCCTCGTCACTCGAAGCCTTCTCGAAGCTTGAAATAGAACGCCACCTCAATGGTGATCGTTTTCTTATTGATTGTTTAGCCGATCGGCGCGGGCCCTCGCACCCGCCCCCCCCTGGAGTAGATCTTGGCTGTTTTTGGCGCCTGTTTCGAGCAGGTGGTGTTCCCCATAAGACGACGGGTTCCAAACAGTCGCACTGAGCAGAGGTTCGGAGCCAGATCCCCCCCCCTTCCGCCAAGTGTCGAAATGCCGAATGAGAAAACGTTGGCATGGCCCACTCCAGGAAGGACTCCTGGAGAGAGCTACCTCGTCGCCAGCAGCGCCAGAGCATCATCAGCCGACCCTCTTGAGAGCCGGGCACGCGGCATGCCCTGGGCGCGCGTCGGCAGTGCGCCACAGCGCCACAGCGGAGAAACCCGCCAGGAACGCCCAACAGCTCTGCACCAGGTATGCCAGGCCAGCCCAAGCTCAACATCAGGTATGCCAGGCCCTCCGTGTGTCGCCCCAACGGACGACACCAGCGTGCATTGCTCTGCCGTGGCGTGGCGCAGCAACGCCCAGTGCCTGCCCAAGGGCATGCCGCAGCCACCCCCAACGCGTGCCTCAGGTCCCCCCCTGCAGGCGACACCGCTGAGCGCCAGAGCACTGCCGCGTTGCCAGGAGCCGTCGCGGGCCCCAACGCCCAGAGAGTCAGCACCCGCCACGCCCGAGCCGCCGGCATCCTTCCCTGTGCAGCCTGCTCTGGCAGCAACAGGCCGCCTCGCCGGCAGTGAGACAGCGCCGCCAACGTCTTTTATTATTGTGTGGACTACAGTCACTTACCGCGCGCGTTCCAGTACTCGCACAGTGCCTACTCGCAAACGTCCGAGACAAAAACAGGTATTCCTCTGTGTAATTGTGTTTGCATAGTGCATCCTATGCCTTAGCGCTTCCCTTCAGCCCCAGTGATCTGTTCACTTTCCCACCCCGCTACAGCCATATCCTGCTCGGGCTGGCTTACCCCGTTTCCCCTCTCTTTTCCCAACACCAGACATACCAGTATCTTCCCTTCCTTCCCACCTGCCGACGCTCACTTGGAGCGTCTGATTATAGAGTACTGCGCCAGCGACGACACGTGCTGTGATCGTGAGGAGCGCCTGGCAACTTGGAAAGAGTAGAGAGCATCTTTGTTGCCACTCACAGTGGTAGCGGAGCCGGTGAGATCCACCGGCTTCCTGGGCCTGCCTCCAGTGGGTCATCGTGCTGGACGGTGGTGTCGAGCGGGACTACTGCGGCGAGCCAGTCGAGATGCCTGGAGGAGAACAAGACGAAGAAGAGGAAGGTCGGAGAGGCGGCAGAGATAGGGATCCGCCGCCTGCATATGACGGCAACAAGCCGGAGAACACGTACAAGCAGTGGAAGAAGGAGCTGAAGCTGTGGAGTACCACGACGGACGTCCCGAAGGTGAAATGGGGCGCCAAGCTGTCTCGGCAGCTAAGTGGCAGTGCGAAGGAAGCGATCGCCGACCTAGAGGTCGACGAGATCATAGGCGAAGGAGGCCTCGAGCGCATCGTGCAGGTCCTCGACGACGCGTACGAGCCGTACTTGGAGCAGACGATGCCGAGGGCCTTCGAGAAGGCAGTGTACACGTCGCAGCGGGAGAAGGGGCAGTCAATGCTGGAGTATACTCTCGCTGCCGTGGCAAGGTTCAATGAGCTGAAGCGTGAGGGAGTTCAGCTGCCAGTCGAAGCCCGGGGCTACATCATGATGAGACACGCGAAGCTCGGCGACAAGGGCGAGGATATGATAAAGACGTGGACGGCTGGCAGCTTCAGAGAGGACGAGGTGATCAAGGCGCTGCGACGCTTGGACAAAGTTACCACAGATCGGGGAGATCGACAGTTCTTCGGCGAAGACGAGAACACCGAAGTGGGCGAGTCCGAGAGCTTTCCGACGATGAATGAGGACGACGACCCAGATGACGAGGAGTACGTGTACGTCTTCGAGGATGACCTGTGGGAGGTGCACGAGGAGGCCGACGTCACGACGGCGCTGGCCTCATACCAGGCGGTGCGGGCCTCTCTGCGAGATGAGAAGAACCGCCGTGGGTTCCACAAAGGTGGCAAGGGCAGTGGGAAGGACAAAGGCGGAGGTTATCCTTCGCCGCCAGTGGCGCGCTTCGGCGCCAGCACGAAGTACAAGGACGGCCAGGGGCGCAGGGTCAAGGTGCACATCGACGTGATCAAGCTGCGCACGAAGTGTGCGAGGTGTGGCCAGGTTGGCCACTGGGCCAAGGAGTGCACGAACCCGCCTGACGCCAGAGGGGCAGCCAACGCGGGGAAGCATAAGACCGGCTTTTTCGTCGGCGCGATGACGGCTTGCGAGAATGCAGGCCTGGACAGCGAGGGAGAATACCTCGAGTGTGAGTCTAAGTACAGGCACCACATCCATCATCATCGAGACTCTGCAGCCTCCAGCAAGCCTCATGGGGCCCAAGTTCGGGATCTTCGTGGAGGCCGGCCAGAGCTGGTATATGCGCTGGGAGTTCCTGGAAGTGAAGGTGACGTGGATCTTGGGTGCCTGTCTCGGGTTCAGAAGAAGTTCGAGCGAGGTCCTCAGCAGGGCCGGGGGTCTCGGAATGCACGAGAAGCTGAGGATGGGGATGCAGAACCGTGGTGTGGGCTATCTCTTGGGGACGGAGAGGCACTGGTGGACACCGCGGCCCAATCGGGCCTGATTGGAACTGCAGCTCTTCAGCAACTTGCTAGTGCTCTACGGGAACGGGGACTAAAGTTCAAGTGGGTCAACAAGCCAGCCCGAGCTCAAGGTGTAGGTGGAAAAGCTCAAACGATAGGAGTTGTGGTCACGCCCTTCGGGATCGGAGGTGCTCATGGGCTTCTGGAGCTCACCGTCGTTGAGGGGAATGTTCCAATGTTGCTGCCAGTTAAGACTCTTAAGAAGTTCAAAGCCCTGGTAGATCTGGACGAAATGAAGCTAGTCCTTAGGAAAGCGGGCTCTGAAGTACCCATGAGGGAGGTCGACACGGGGCATGTGGCAGTCTCGGTGGTAGAGTTCAGAAGCGAAGGTTGGAAGGTCCCGGACGGGGCTCATGGACATCAAGACGAGGAATTCCGGTGCTGCAGCCATTTGAGTCAGGCGAGTGATTCTGCCTCAGCGGCAAGTTATGTTCTCGACCATTCCATATCTGAGGGAGGTTCAGACCGCTCTCGACCTGGCCGGGACCCCGCGCCGGCAGGGATGGGTCCGCCTCGCGGCAAGCTTGGTGCTCTTGGCGTCGGTGCGGCCGCTTGTGGGCATCTTCTCCATCATCCGTGGGGGAATCAAATACGGGTGGGACAGCTCGGAGGACGAGGAGGAGCGGTTCAAGGTCTCGAGCTACCTCGGTCAGAAGCCTCGCCACGACCAGGTGGAGCTGACGGCTGCGAAGCCGCCGCAGAAGGGACCAGTGTACTACCCGGAGTGGAAGACCGTGTACTGTCTGTGCGCGGACGACTTGGACAAGAGCAAGTTCAAGGTGGCCAGGAGGTGCGTTGTGCTGGAGGACGACGAGCTGCAGAACTACGGGAAGTTCTACCACCGGTGCGGCCAGAACGTATGCAAGTTCCACCAGTGGGAGGTTCTGCCGTCAGTACGGAAGCACTGGCAGTGGCTTCTGAGCTACGAGCTGAAGCCCACGACGGGCCAGTTCGAGAAGAAGGTGGACAAGTGCGACCACCCGATTGCGAAGCTGAAGGGTATGGGCGGAGTCACGGCAGCGATCCAGTGCACGCAGTGTGGAGGTCGGTGGGAGAAGGGACCGAGAGCGCACATGATCCTGTCCAGGGAAAAGGCACTCACGATGTACCGACTGGGAGTCGAGACTATGGAGGAGGTTTTCGGGGAGGTCAACCCGAAGTCGGCCAGGCCCAAGGCCCCAAAGCCATTGAGGAGTACAGCTGCATCCAGTCAAGGAGGCGAACCCAAGGCGGAGGAGATTCCAGTACCGCTGGATCGAAGGAAACGTACGAGGCACCCCGACCGCATGGAATACGAGGGCAGCGGCTGGTGGTCCGGGGAGGACGATCAGTAGAGATCGGGTCCCCAGGCGATGGCAGGCTGAGAACGTGGAGCTACTACGGGGAGATGAACTGCGCGGAGCTTCCTGGAGATGGCGCGGTCGTGATCAGCGGAGAGAAGCAGCTTAAGTCGGCCAAGAAACTCCATCATGACCGGGTGGTATCGATAGGCCCCCGGTGGTGGCGGCTACAGGGCGACGAGTTCGTGGAACAGCAGGGTGAGATCCCAGAGGTACTGGACGAGAAGGTGATCATGCTGAACTGGGAGCTGGAGGATAATTTCACGTTTCTGGACGAGCAGAAGCAGGACATTCCCCACAAAGTGTTGAACGATCTGAGAAGGGTCCAGGACATCGAGGTGGCTGAGATGTACTCCATGCCCAGGGTCTCGGAGGCCTTGAGGAAGAGGCGTGAGGGTGGGGGAATCGCTTATGACCCCAAGCTGGGCTGGAACTTTGACCGGGCCCAGGACCGAGCGTCGTGCCTGGCTGACATCCGCATGAGGGACCCTGACCTGACCGTGGGAACGCCACCGTGTGGACCGGTAAGTGCGCTCATGGAGTGGAACTACCAACGCATGGACCCCAAGAAGGCCAGGGCACATCTCAGCAGCGGGCTCAACCACCTGAGGTTCACGGTGAAGGTCTTGATGGAGAGGCACCAGAGAGGACGGTACTTCCTTTTCGAGCATCCACGGACGGCCAAGAGCTTCAAGGAGCCGGAGCTGATCGCTCTCATGAAGTTGGAGGGAGTCTGCGTGGTCTTCGCTGACCAGTGCAGGTTCGGCCTGAAGGGGCAGTCTGACAAGTATTGGAAGAAGCCGACGGCATTCGTCACTAACTCGCCGTGCATCGCTGCGGAACTCGAGAAGAGATGCAGGGGAGATCACGAGCACGAGATCCTCATCAACGGAAAAGCCCATTACGCCGAGCGGTACCCGATCGGCCTGTGCAATGCCATCGCGAAGGGACTAAGTCGACAACTTCGTGAAGATCGGGAAAGAGCCCACGGTGGAGTGGAGGTGTTCGGCGCCGAGGACGAGATCGGCGAAGGCGAGGAGGAAGATCCGTTTGGCGACGATGAGGACCAAGAGGCGCCTGAAGAAGATCCGCCAGAGGAAGACGAGGAGGTACGGCCGCCAGAGCCCAGCGAGACCGAGAAGAAGCTGATCAGAGAGTTGCACGAGAAATGGGCGCACCCGAGCAAGGCAGATTTTTGTCGGGCCCTGCGGCTAGGAAGGGTGAGACCTCAGTTGGTCAGGTGGGCCAAGACTCAGTTCGAGTGTGATGTGTGCAAGGCACGAACCCGCCCTAAGCCTAGGAGGGTCGGGGCCATTCCGAAGTCCTACCGCGTGAATCACGTGGTGGGAGTCGACCTGATCTTTGTCAAGGAGGGTAACCGCGAGAATGTGCCGTATCTGAACGTGACAGACTGGGGGCACTCACTATTCCATGTTCCAGAGGGTGCCCAAGGGAAAGAAGTCGCCGTGGAACGTATGGCTTGCATTTTGTCGGAGCTGGCTACGGGTGTTTGGTCCCCCGGAGATTTTGGTGGTGGACGAGGGCGAGGAGTTCATGGGCACATTCGCTGACCGAGCCGCGGAGGAGGGATGCTTGGTCTCGACCATTGATGCGAGAGCTCCATGGAAGAATGCCAAAACCGAGCGAGCTGGGGGCCACTTCAAGGCGATCTACTCGAA